ATAAAACCTAGACACTAAGAAAATCACGGGTCCTCACAATGAGACCTGGTTTTCATGCAATTTCTGTCTCTGCATCTTTTAGGACAAGTCAATATTTCTAAAGTAGTATATGTTTGAGAGTAAGACTAGAGAGATGATTGTCTACACAACTGAAGGTGCTCTGCCATTGCAATTTCTCAGGGATAAATTTTTCCCCATCAGATTTTTATCTCTGACCTTTTCTTTCTTCTTTCTTCTTTTTTTGGTATCCACTACAGGAAGAAGCAATCTTTATTTGTGGTCTAAGAATAAACAAATGGTGAAGATAGCCTTTAAGTAGTTGTTTGTTCACCTTTTATTATTGTTTTTCCTTTTTTGGGTTTTAATGATAGTATAAGTTCTACTTAATTGACAGGTGAGAATATCTTAAACTAGGTGACTTGGTTGAGCAAATATTGTGCACATCCGTATTTGGAACTCCATAGCATGTCAGCTTCCTTATTTGGCTATCTAGATAGACTATTTTGTAGTGTGAAAATGTCATCTTCTTTTGATGGGCTTTTGAATAACGAATCATTAGTTTCTTTTCATTGATTAATTTTATAGATTGATTACACTTTTGTGTTAGAGTAAGTTTTACTTGGTAATAAATTTGTATATTTCATCTTTAACCTTTTGGGTTCATTTCTTGAACTTCAATATTTATAGGTATAAACTTGTTGAAAAAAGGATGAGAGGCATTGGCAGTATGAGGAGGGACATAAAAGAAAAGAAGAAAGGTGTGGGAAAAAGTGCAAGTTGAAATACTGATACTGAAATCATTATGGTCATTACTGTAATGATTAAAATGTTAAGAAAAAGTTAGAGATTAAGTTTCAAGAAAAGACCCTTGGGTTACTTGGCGCTAAGATAGGCATTGGTCATTTAAGTTTCCTATTCTTTGGGAAATTCACTATTATTTGACCATTTCAATATTCTTTTACCATACTAGAGCTACTGTGTTTGGTTGATTGTATCATTGATAGCTATTTAATCTAACTTGTCTTTACTCCTCACAGCTAAAATGGATTGATGAGGATTTCCTGAGCTATGACTTTGAGTTCAACATTTTTCTGACTTGCTAAATTTGTTAAGAGAATTTTCTTCACTTTCTTTGGAATATGTTTTTGCTGTTCTATGTGCAGGTTATTAGTCAAGATATAGAGATTAAAGGATCTCATTTAAAACATCTGACACTTCTTTAGGCTTTCTTGTTCTAGGCCCAATTAGATATCTTTAAACTTACTGTTATTTGATTGTGTGGCTTGAGTTCAAATTAAGTAAATTATTTGAGAGAATGCTTAATGATTTGTTTGGCTTGTTTTGCTTAGCAATGAGTCAAAGCCCGAAGAGTGGAAGAACTCTTATCGTTTCCCTTGCATTATCATGATTGAAGTGTTATGCACCCCTAGAATCAAGATTGGCATTATTTCTATGTCTGTCCTGTATGGATCTACAGTGATTATTTATTAGCCTCATTTTTGGATACATATTATTGTAGACATTATGTACCTTTTACATTTTAAATAAGAGGTTGTGTTTGTAAAGATAGTGACCAACTTTTGTTTCAGTGCATTATATTGTGTACAGTGAACCTATTATGTACTTCCTAATTTTGTCCAGTTACGGTGGGTTGTATTCTTAATGACACTGAATTGCAATTTTCACTTACCTCTTTAATTCAATAATTCTTTTTACTAATTATATGCCTCCTAATTGTATGGGCTCAAATAATTCAACATCTGTCATCACAACAATTTGCAAGTTAGATGGCTAGTATTGAGCAATTTGCATGCTTTCACCGTTTTCATGCTACCTTTTTCTGCATAATCAGTAATTAATTTCATATAAATGGCCTGTTATGGCATGAAACTCAAGTGCGCCAAGAATTCTACCTTTCTATTTGTCAATTGGTTATTTCATTTTCCCAACAATAAACTTCGGTTAGGGAACGTTTCCATTGACTGTGAAGATAGATTGTTGCATGGAGGATCCTTTTTAAGAAGGGTAAATTACATTTTACCCTCCCGTGGTTTTCGCAAAAACCACATAACCCCCTCATGATTTTAAATGCTATACATAAATCCTCTGTGGTTTAGGTTGAATTGTCAAATAGACGGAAACTACCTATCGTGACGATTTGTGGGCGAAATGTCTAAATTACCCTAATATAAATACAAAAAAAGGCAACAACGAACACGGCTTGGGCTTCCCTTTCCTTTCATTACTTCTTTCTTCGCGTCCGCAACAGTCAAAGTGGTGGAAGGCCCACCAGAGTCAACGGGAGAGCTTTCTGCACCTCTCTTCAAGAGATAGGATTCCGGTTTCTGCATCTTTCTTTCTCCCATGCTTTTCCGTTGGTCAACTACCAAAAAAAGCGATTTCTGAAACAAGAGCTCTAGTCATAGTTTCATGTTGTATGGGAGCTGCTGATTGTCCCTGTCTAGGCCCCCACCAGTGATTCCATACTGCCCTTCTCCATTGTTACCTCCACTGCCATGACCAGTACTACTGCTGCCATATCTTAAGCCAGGGCCCCTGCACTAGCCCCTGCCGTAGCTATAGCTGCTGCCTCAACTCCCTTGCCTGCTGCTTGCACCAGAACCATAGCTACCACCATTCCATCCATCACCATTACTGCCGCCATCTGGACCATATTTACCGCTTGGACCACCACCTCCACCTTATCCAACCCACCACCATTACCACCTACAGAGCCAAATCCATTGCCGTCACTACTGCCTCCGCTTCCAGCCCCATAACCACCACCATTTCCATCTACAGAGCCATATCCATTGCCGTCATTGAAAGAGATAAGGAGCACAGATCTAGGCTTTATTGGATCCGTTAAAGTGATCAAGCGTAATATGGGAACGTTTCTTACTGTTACCAGTAGTACAAGCGTGTGTAAGACACGAATCGTCACGATGGATGTTTTCCGTTTATTTGACACTTTAACCCAAATCATAGAGGGTTTATGTATAGTTTTTACAATCATAGGGGGGTTACGTGATTTTTGCGAAAACCACAAGGGGGTAAAATGTAATTTGCCCTTTTAAGAAATATGAACCCCCTTCATTCTCAGTGTACACCTAAATACCATGTATCACACTTCCATTCTCCTTACCAGAGTTGTTGCGTTAGTTGTTCCGATTTTCATGTTACATGCAAAGAATTGGATAAACAATATAGAAACGATTGAACAACATCAAAATTAATGCTCGTTGTAATTTTAAAAACACCACAGATAATCAATCCTCCACAAAATAATAGAAAAAATTAATAGTATTTATTCATTGTTTAATATTTCGAATCTCCCATTTATTTCTTCCAACACTTCATCCCATCTTTACATGAAGCAAAATCATACTGATGAGCTTCAATTTTATTCACCTCAATTATTTTCTTTTCGATCTTTTTCTCGACACCATGTTAGATGCAAACCTTTATTTACTTGCATTTTCTTACAACATTGCTTATTTAAAAACTTAATCATTTTATAACCAAATAACTTAAATACATACGATTTATGATATCTCCACTTGAAAATCTGAGCATTTTCTGGGTAATATGAAATTAACACCGGGTATTGCGCGGTGATCCCCTTCTAGTTTCTCTTAAAAGTACAATGAACTTGTCTGAAACATCTGCTACCCCGTTCGGGTCACTACTTTTAACCCTTTTTTTTGGTCCTGCTCCACTGCGATGTGTTGTCCTAATTTCCTTTGCTATTCCCACCATGCATAGGTGAGTCAGCTTTCCACCATATATGAAACCGATTCTTATGTTCGCAAACGTGGAAGACTTCATTTAGTTATGTTCCTCATTCTAAACTTAGATTAACTTCAGTTTGATTTCCTGAATTATTTGAGCCGTTAGGACGATTCGGGACAAGATAAACAATGCCGGAGATATCTGCGTGGATGGTTGGTTGTTTTAGGATCTTATATGGAAAAGTTTACTATAACATGTTTCCAATAAAATTGTTTGTCCCGCAAAAGGGTAATTGCAAATGCTTCCCCGTAAAAAGGTAATATGTTACCAATAAAATTGTTTGTGTCGTAAAATTCACTCGGCACAGTGGCCCAAACGGAAAAAGAGAGGCCGGTGGAGGGGGAGGGGGTAAAAAAAATCACTCTGCATAGTGTATACTGGGCAACTTACAGGCATCAAATTTTGCAAGGGATAATTTTAGAAACCTCCCTTGAGATTTTTGACAATCTAACTAGCCTTTTCTAAAGTTTATAAGATTATAAAAAATTCCTCTAAGGTTAAGATTTAGATAATAAAATTAGTCCAATTAGAAAAGTAATATTAAAAAAGTACTTTAAGGAGAGAGATGAAACTTTTATTCCATAGATACCCTTTATGCATGTATATAAATTGTATTAGTAAAAGAATAAAAATAATTTAAAATTAGAAATAATTAATACGCACATTACAACACTCAAAAAATTCACATGTAATAAATTAGACAACGCAAAAAAGTAACACAACTACATTAATGATCACAAGATTTAACAAAATAAACTAGTCACCTCTTTTTAAAACCACAAAAATCATAGCAAATATCATGTCAAAAGAGATGACTAGTCTATTCTGCTGAATCTTGTGATCATTAATGTAGTTTTATTGCTTATTTGTATTGTCTGATTTATTAAATATAAACTTTTTAAATAGTAAAATGTGTGTACTAATTGTTTTTAATTGTTAATTATTTTTATTCTTTTACTAATACAACTCATATACATGCATCAAGGGTATGTATAGAATAAAAGTTTCATCTCTTTTTTTAAAGTACTTTTTTAATGTTACTTTTTCTAATTGGACTAATTTTGTTATCAAAATCTTAATCTTAAGGAAGGTTTGAATAATTTTATAAACTTCAGGGGAGACTAGTGAAATTATTAGAAACCTCAGGGAGGTTTCTACAATTATCCCATTTTGCAAACTCTTATTAACACAAATTCTTGCCGGTGTGGTGTAGGACCCTGTGATTGTGAACGCCTGGTTGGTTCTCTCATTTCTGTGAAGGGTCTAGAAGGATTCTCACTAAATTGGACCAGCTTCCAAGTTCCGACTGGGCAACTACAAACGGCTCTGTTCTTTTTAGCTCTTTCTTCTTCAACCGAGCATCATTGCTACTATGAACTTTCACTCTCTCATATTGTTTTTCCAGCCAAGAATTTCGTTGGAGCTGAGGAACCTTCAACCTAGAGTAACTGTTCTTCCATCTGCATAATTCACGGCATGCTTTTCCTTTCAACTGTTTTTCCCTTTTGAGGTCCGCTTCGGTGAAAAGGGGTAACTGGTTCTTGTTGATAGGAAACTCCTAAACGTTTTTCTTTTCCCAATTTTATTGGTCCAACAGAAGTAAAATTGTTGTATGATGAGGAGCCATAAATAAGTTGAATCTGCGTTTTGACCTGAGGCAGATTCAATATGTCTACTTCTTGGCACAAATACGAACTGGTGGACGGCTCAGATGACCCTGAAGACATCCCATTAGTCGCGGTCAATGAGAAGCCTGTTCATAGGAGGATATGCAAGTGTCACCCTTCAGTCCTTGATGAACTTGGAGAAAAGGGAAAGCTCCAAGTGTCGCACCCCAGATTTGGCCCATTTTACCGTGAAGACGAATCCGAGGTCAGTGGAAAGAAGGAAGCGTGGGATAAAGTACTGGAAAAATCTGGAGACAAGAACAGAACCATAGAAAATTACTTGTTTGCAACGAGAAGGGTAGAGAAAAGAGCCAGAGCTAGTTATGCTGATGCTGGGGGAGTCGTGCGTAACTTGACAGAGTCTCAGTTCCGGTGGATGATGATTGAAGATGGTTGCTTCTTCCTCCAGTTGGCATTATTCATCCTCGGAGCTTCTTCCCAGCAACTGGGTTATCCCGATAATCACATTATCTTTGGCAAAAAAAAGAAGAAAGAGGATGTCAACAGGTGGATTGAGGCGATGTTCTTTGTTGGAAATCAAGTCCCACTTGTGGTGCTCAATGAATTTATGAAGCAGAGTTTTTTCCAGAAAATACTAAATCAAGTGAACAGGGAAACCCCATCACAACTGCCCAAGCGGATCTTGTATGAGTTGCTTGTTCTGCCTGCTCGAGAACATGTTACCAATCAAACTGTTACATCACCAAAGCCCCGGGGTGAAGAGCAGCAGCCTACTGACTTGCTTCATGCGCTCCACTCATTCATGCTTGATCCAGGACGAAGTTTAAGCAATGTCAACCCCGATGAAGCTGATACAGGCGATGTTGATTTGGGGGACAGCGGGGGAGTCCATGGGACCAAGGACTTGACTCTTAGCGCCTCCGAGTTGAATAAGAAGGGAATCCGTTTTAGGAAAGTGAAAGAGGTGGGCTGTACAGAGATAAGTTTTACAGACTACTTCATCTTTGCTCGTCTTTACTTGCCGGTATTCACGATTGGTGATGATACAGAACTAGTTTTCAAAAGCCTGAAGCATTACGAGGAGAGTCAACAACAGGGCAAGAGCAAACGCGAGGTGAGATCTTATCTGCAGTTCATGAATGATCTCATTTGTACCTATGAAGATGTCAAGCTGTTAGCAAAAAAAGGAATCATCAAAGCAGACAACCCCTACCATAAAGAGAAGTTGCCTACAATCTTGAGCAATCTGGCCGGCCAGGACAAGCACACCACTCCAAACCTCCACCTTTTGAGGATCCAACTGAGAGACTATAACATTGCTCCCTGGGAAAGGTTCAAACTATTGGCTATCTTGCTTTTCATCCTCACCTTAATCCAGACAGTCTTTGCTGTGTTAGCTTACTTTAGACCCCCACACCAAAAATGATGATTTTCCCATACATATGAGTGCAAATGTTGAGACCTCTTTGTTAATGCTTTTACTTGGTTCTAGTGTTTGATTACTTTGATGGCGAGAGGTCTTTGTTCATCCTCCTCCTTATATAAAACGGTAAACAAGAAATTGAAGAGAAAAGGAACGTAAAGGCAAAAACCATAACCATTGTTGATATTACTAATGAAAAATTACAAGTTTTAACATTTCAGTGCCTTTACATTATTCTAGATTAGTGGCAAATTACAAGTTTTCAGTAATATTGAGCAATCTGGCCGATCAGGACAGGAACACCATTCAAAGTCTCTCCACCTTTTGAAGACGCAACTTAGGGATTAGACCATGGCTCCCCATGAAATTAATGTTCAACGTATTGCCGCTCTTGCCTGTTAATTCTCACCTTCACTCAAAACATTCTTTTCTATGTTAGCTTACTTTAGAACCACCATCCCAACATGAAAGGGGTCACACTAATGCAAGAATTCAATGATGATCAGAATCCTTTGTTGGTGGACGTGGGGGTTATAGTGGTCAGTGTTGGTGGTGTGGTGGTACTGGTGGGATGGGTTTCAGCGGTTTAGGGAGAAGAAGAAAAGAAGGAAACAAAGGAAAAAAAAATTATAAAGCAAAAGAAAGAATTAAAAAAGGAATTTGAGACCAAAAAAATGGTGTAATATGGACAAAATGCGTTTTTTCATCCCAAAAATGGTATCACTTTCCTAAGTAACAAGCCTGTTATCGATTAAATTCCAAATTAGATTGAATCATAAGGGGATATTACAAACATTTTTGAAAAGCTTGTTGTTAATTAAATTCCATATTAGTTTGAATTATGAGAGGTGCTATGAACATTTTTTAACGATAAGAGGACATCCTAACTTTCAACCATAGCGTTTATATGGATTTTAGAAATATATATATAACAATTGTACATAAACCACCAATCTCAACCATGCCTGCTTGAATCCACTTTGGGATCAGAGAAGTTAAAATATGGTTTTAAAAAAACGATTCCAAGTCAATAGGTCTCATGACACGTGAGAGTTGGCACAAGGGCTAAATTGAAAAAAAAAAAAAAGATATATTCCTTAGAAAATAATCGCATGACCTTATATAGAATTACAGAAATTTGGCAGAAGCTTTTTATGGTTATAAATTTTAGAACTTATTTGACGATGTGATGGTGTCAATGAACCTTGCTAGATGATGCTATCTGCCGGCTTTCTGCTATGCGTGTTATCATGTCTTCTGTAAAAATATGGTAATCATCTTCTTTCTAACCTAAGATACTGGATGAATGTACATCTAAACGGAGCGACATGCATCTCTAATCCAAATAGCTTTCTACACTCCAAAAAACATGTCTGAGCTTCTGCAAGTTTCCCTTCTCCAATGAACAGAAAGTAAAAAGAAAAAGGCGAAAATTGAATGAGTGTACCTCTATAGCCATAGTTTAGGCATAAAGAAATAATCATTATGCATAGAGACAACAGAAATCAACTGGAAGCAATAACAGAGCCAAGAGCATTTTACATCTGATAAAGGAGAGAAGCATAAGCATAATACTATTTTAGACCAAAAAATGAGAGATTGTATGGCCAACATTATTCATGCAAAGAAGAGCCTAATCCACACTGAATGAAGAGCTTGTCACAGGAAATGAGCTCATTTACTATTACATAGAAATACAACAACAGAAATTCAGAATACAGCTTTCATAAGTGAAAGTCTTTTGACATGATAAAGTTCAAATTAACAATTGAAAACTCATTTAACCAATGGCAAAATATTGAAGCAGGGCATTTGGTGAGTGATTTGAAGATTACGGCGCAAGAAAGAAGCCTTTCCTCAAGAACAGGGATTGGCTAGTGCAACTCTCGTTAAGGTAAACATCCTCCTTCAATTCGTTTCTTGGAGTCCAGAGTGAACTTCTGACAGTGTCTGGAGCTTGAGCTTGACTGATATCCATCTTTCTTCTCCGGTCTGACTTCTGAGAAGAGCATACCTAGGCCATGCCACAATGTTGGAGCAGGGCACAAGCAAGTTAAAGTGGAGATGAAAGTTCACAATTTTGGTACATTTTCTCAACTGGGATCATTGGAGGTAAACATCTCTTTCCCTTTCAGTTTCTGGTAAGCATGCAAAACTTCCGATTAGGTTTGGACTACGACTTGAACTTGAAGCCTGAGATTCGGTGGTTCTGCCATCAAAGGAATTGTTTTGCTGCAAAATAAAAACCAATAAATAAATAAATAAAAGAGGTTAGGATGTCTAATCTGACAACATCTCTATTAGACTTATAACATTATTCAAGGAATGCTCTCAAGTCATACAAGCAGTTTCTGGGATTGGGATTCAATCGTAGTTAGTGTTATTGTTTCTGGGAATTCCTGTATTGCTAGCTGAAATGTGGAGTATTAAACACAATAAACTAGCTTGTTACTCTATATTCCAAGCTTGACTATAAGACTGAAGAGGCCCAGGAAATTTTTTAAGTCTCTGCTCGTTTATTTTGGTCCTGAAAATTGAAGATTCCAAAAACCCAAAAAGGTATGTGAAATCATAGGTGTTTAGGACTGCTTTTATATAGAAGTAAAATTTTATTGACCTAAAAACTGAATCTGGAGGGATTCAAAAAGGAGGCCTTCTCTGAAGTATCAACTACAGTGACAGCTAGTGCAATGTATCCAACTGTACATTACTTCCATCTTGTATTAACTTAGTCTAAGAATGAATATTTACTAGTGTGTTTGGCATCGAGAAGTCCTACCTGTAGCAACAAATTTTCATGAAGGATGAAAGATTTGACGTGTAAATAAAATTCCACGGGGAGATGGTGAAGGATTACCTGACTTGCTGAATTGGTGGACTCAAGCCAAGGATCATCATTTCCAAATTCTATTGAACACTTCGAGTTGATTTTGTGACGATCTTCTCCTCCTCTGCCATTTTTCATTCGTAGCCTGCCTAAGAATTGTTGTGGCATCATGCTGACCTTCAGCTTTCTGAGAGTAATGATGCTTTGTAATCCCTCAGGAAGCTTTTTCATTCTCCTGCACATGGAAACCTCTAAAGTAGAAAGCTTTTGCAATGCTCCTTCGTCCACCTCCCATTCTTCTAAGTTGTACAACTTGGAGAGCTTTAAACTCCTGAGTTCAGGAAAACCTGTATCAGAACAATGCAATTTCTTTCCTAAGTATGCCTCGACTTCTAAGACAAGGATCCTCAGGTTGGGAAGGTTCTCCAGTGTTGGCATAGGGTCTTGATCAAGTTCAGAACCATTTAACACAATCTCAGTAAATCTTCCAGAGATAGTACCAATTTCTGACGTTTTTCCTATGCGCCCTTCTATTTGCAGAGTATCAAGAACAGGACAGCTGAATAATCTTTTTATGAAAGACAGCCGTTCGTCAGAGTAACAATCAAACTTTTTAATGTCAAGCGATGCCCTCTTCAAGTGGCTTGAGTTGATGCCTATGAAGCGGATGATGAGCTCCAAGTCCTCGAGGTTTCCTTCTGCAGTTGCTGCTAGAATCCGAAGGTTTGTCAGCTTTATGAGGTCCTTTGCTCTGCACACACTTGTATTCAATCCCTCAAGTATCTCTAGTTGTTTCAAGCTATCTAGTTTCAACATTCCACGATGTTCAGGAGTTTGAAATGCTAGAGGGAAATACAGATGTCTTAATCGCTCAAGCTTCCAAATGACATTTGAAATGGTCATTATGCAATCTTTTTGAACCCTTAGGTCGAGGGTTTGCAAGTACAAAAGGTTGCCAATGTATGATGGCAAATCCTCGAGGTAACATCCTCGAAAACTCAGGTATCTCAAGTAGACTAACTCTCCTACTCCTTGAGGAAGATTTCCATCCTGAAAACTAACTCTGTCAAAATCTAAAACCCTTAGCGGTCTAAGTTTTCTGAAATTAAAAAGTCCCTGTGGCCACCTAGATCCTTGCCTTGATTGTTCAGAGTTGAGGCATAAAAGAGACCGAAGGTTAGCAGAGGGGATACCATTTGATACGCTGTAATATTTATCGAAATATATAGCACATCTTTGTGCTTTTGAAATCATATTTGGTTCCGAGCCAGACATGATCTCAAAAAATTCGTCCTCTCTTCCCTCTATTATGCAGAGACTTCTTATCAGGCCTTGAATGTGGCCGGACATGAGCCTTAAGTCTGACACTTCATCTTCTTCCAGAGTTACCAAGCTCCTTAGTGCCAATTCGCCGAAATATTTTGCTGCAACATCCATCATTGTTTCTTCGCTTGCCCTATCCTCAGCTGATATCAGACCTTCAGCAATCCAAAGCTGGCACAACTTCTCTACTTGTATTCTTGAATTGTTTGGGAAGTTTCCCAAATAAACAAAGCACGCCTTAAGGCGCAGTGGCAAAGCGTAGTAAGCTGACTGTAGGCAATGAAAGCCTATGGGAAATCCATCCATCTGGTGGCGGTTCTCAAGAAGATTGTAAAGCACCCTATTCCGCTCACCTTCCCTTTCAGTGCTTAACATGCTCGCCAGTACAATGATAGCCAATGGTAAGCCTTCGCATCGAGCTAATATTTCCCATGCAATTGGCACCAGTTTCCCTGGGATCGGACCCGCTGTAGAGAAAACCAGAAGCCAATTAACGAAACAAACCAAGACCTTGAGATTCAAATAAGGGTTATATCTTCTTTAAAAATCTACCAACAGGAGCATCTGTAAATTACAATTTTGTTAACCAGGATTTTGTCCCAAGCTCAAGTATTTTTTTTAAAACAGTGATAGTAATTAAGTAGCTACTATATATTATTGGCATTCCACATTGGCGCTTTTTAGAAAATGACATGAATAATAATAATTGGAATGTCACCAAAAAATGCCTTGCGTAAAAGTTAAGATTACTTTCAACTGTACAAGCGTCAGCACCCAAGTCTATGAAGTACCATGTAACAAAAAATCAATTGCCTCTTGGGTCGTGTCTCTTGCCAGTTTAATTGTGGCGATATGATATGGCTTCCTTCCACGGGAAATACCGTCAGCTTCTCTACTATTTAGGCTAGATTAAAGTAGGTTATACAAGTGTAACACAGAATCAATTGTAGATATCGTATATTTGTCGCTAATTCTCTCGTCAAGTAGGGCTCCTCATGAGCAGTAGAACTATGGAATTTTGATTTTCTTTGATTAATTTCTAGCTAATTGTAGAGAATTAATGTATGAGAGGAGCTTAATTTTGATTGAAATTGCAGGCAAATGTTCTTCCCCAAGTGATTTGTTCGGGAATGTTTATGAATATTCATTGTCGAGTTTGTAGTAAAATCTCTTGTTAATACCACTTTGCAAAACAAGAGAACAAGAGAACAAGAGAGAGAGAGAGCAAATATGATTGTTCAAACAATTGAAGTTTTAAGTTGAGAGAGACTGACCCTTTAGCTTGCGCCAAATATGAGAGAATAGATCCCAGCTCTTGTTGGGATTCAGTGATTCCATGCGCAAGCTGTATACTGCACCTGGATCAAGAAATCTGCTTAAATTCCGGTTTCGAGTGGTGAGAATGAATTTGCTAGCACTAGCACTCCTCACCGCAAATGGGACGGCAATGCTTAGGATATCCAAGAGTTCACGGTCGGAACAGTCGTCCAAAACGACCAGGCAACTTTTTCGCTGTAGAATTCTGAACACCTGTGGGGCCAGCTCCACTTCCTCGGATTTCATCATCGCCTCCCGTTTCTTCCTCGGCAAGGAGGACAGTTGGTCGAGTATAGTTACCAAGATATCTCTGGTGCTCCAGTAACCACCGACATAGACCCAGGCGAAACCCTTAAAATGATGCCGAACGTCAGGGTGATTGAACAGTTTTTTGGCAAGGATTGTTTTACCGATTCCACCCATTCCGACTATGAAAACGACTCTGGGATCAGTCTCTTCACTGACTAAAACCTTTGTCAGCTTACGCACTTCCTCCTCCAATCCAAAAGCTTCGTCTCCCCAGCGGCCGCTAGAGAAATTTGCTCGAGAGACGAGCCATTGGGACTTTTGTCCTAGCTTTCGAATCTGTGGATATTGATTTTGTTCTGCACAGTAGGATGTAACGCAATCCTTGAGTCCATCAACAGAAGCTTTCAAGTCAGCTACGAGCTTCCCAAACGCTGTATTCTCACCACCACCACCACCGCAACATGCTTCACGACTGCTGCTAGTTGCAGATCCAAGTTGGAGGGCATACGATTCCACCTTATCCTCAATAGAAGACAACAGATTTCTGGTCCTTCTTCCAAATTCCAGATCATCCTGGGCTCCTTTTACTCTTATTTTATGGGCTGGTAGCCCCATCAACATTTCCTCCGACTCCTGCAGTCTCGGCAACACAGTGCCCTCGACCACCGGTTTTAATTGGCCTAAAGCTCTCGCTTCGTCGAGCAACAATTCTTGAAGCCTCCTCACGGCAGCTGAGATGCTTGCCACGGCCGTCATCTTCCCAAAATCAGTAGCCTGCGGATCGTGCTGCTGTCTTTCTGCTTATTTATTCTTTTGTGGTTTGTTTGTTGCAGAATCTTTACGCTCTCTAATGAGCTGCGTAGTTAACTAAGAGCCATCACGTGTTGCGCGAAAGTTTCGGTTTATACAACCAACCAAAGAACTAGTAGTAATTAAGTTACTGTGCCCATAAACTAATCAAGCTCATACGTTTTATCGAAGTTTGTTCATTCACGATAAATGATACTAGTAAAAACTAATTTTCAGCCGTTGACTGTGAAAGGAGATCGATTTCACAGCAGGAATTTTTCCTTTTTTAAAAAAAAAAAAAGTTGGTAAGTTTTTCCGTCCTTGATTGTTTCACCAGAATCTTGGTACGGTGTTCGTCTAGTTAATTCTACAGAGGCTTTGATCTAATTCTCTGGTTGAGTCTTTCTTATAAAGCAAAGCTAGAGTCTCTTTTTTACTACTATGTTGCTGCATGCATGGGTATAGGAGTTTCTATATCCTCTTTGTTTCTTTCTTTTTGTTTAGAATTTAGATGTGACAAAATGCAAACTTGGTTTGAAATTCCAGTCCAAAGGTGGAGACTCCAGATCATATGCATCATGGTTTGTGATAGCTATGTCCTAAAACATTTCCCCCTCTGACTGGTTCCATGCCTAAAGATATGGCAGTAGGTAGAGACTGTAGAGTCGAGAAGGGACTTTACACCCCAACCAACCAGAGCTTGTCTCATTGCTTGTCCCTTTTCCCTGTCCATCCTCTTCAATCATTACTATATAATAAAAAGTAGGGATAATTTCATAAACCTCTCCTGAGGTTTCGTAGAATATCACTAAGCTCCCTCACGTTTTCAAAATCTCTCTCACCACCCTTTTAATTGATTTTTGTAAACAATATAAGCCCCTCTAACCAAAAGTATTAATAGAAAATGCATTTTGGAGGAGAGAGAGAGTGTTTTAGTTCCCATAATACCCTTAAGCTGACCAAAAAAAATCTATGTAAAAAGTGAGGGGGTCAAAGAGTGAAATGCATGAAAATTGGACTACAAGTGAGAAAGGTGAACAACCATTAGGAAGGCAACAGTTAGTTTCGGCTTCCTAGCAGCAGTATTAAAAGGCAGAAATAGCTTCAGAAAATGGGGCAGATTGAGAGAAAATTGGTAGAAGAAAATGACTAACTATCAAAAAGTATGACATTTTACTCTTGTTTATTTGTTTGTGCTTTGTTATTTGTACACCTTCTTGGAACTTTAAAACTTTGTAATCAGCAATGTAAATAGAAAAATATATATTTAACTTTTTTTTACAAAAACTCCCAAGAATAACCATTCAAAACCATCCCAGTTTTTTTCAATATAAACAAATTTAGTTTCCTTTCAACTCACCCTTGTTATAAGGGTATTATTATTGGACGTATGCATAAAAAATTTCGATATTCCAAGAACATTATCATAGCCACATGTTCTGATTATATCAGTGTAAGGAAGAAAATTGAAAAAAAATAAAAATGAAACAAAACATATTAAAAACGATATCGAAAGGATAATAATAAGGATCCTATTCTTATTTCTAAACTTGCTACTAGTGTTGGATATCAAAAGAGATGGTGCTGATTTCCTTACCCTAAGTAAGGATAATAGATTAAGAAATAACTAGTGAACTACGGTAAGTATGAAACTAAAAGCAAAGGTGGCCATGGATGCCTTTTTTTTTAAAAAAAAATATTTGGTTATATTAAAAAATTATCAAGATGCTTGCACAATACCAATAATGGTTTATAATAAGTGCACATGACAAGTCAAAACTATTACGTATTGGCCTCAAATTCAATTCAAATTATAAAGTCCAATGTTAAAGGAAAAAATTGAACTAGAAATCAAAACAATTTTTTTTTTGTAAGTGGGCCAATTGTTTCCTGGGCTTTAGGCTATTACATGCTTTCGTTTTTTTTCTTTTTTTTTTTTTTTTTGCTTTTCATGTGCTAAATAATTACTAGAAGAAATGAGGTTATTGTTGACAATTCATCCATTTTGATATTGACATGTGACACCACAATCACTTGAGGGGTGGTAAGAGAGATTTTGAAAATGTGAAGGAAGCTTAGTGATATTTCATGAAACCTTAGGGGAGGTTTCTGAAATTATCCCTAAAAAGTATGCATCCTACCTAATCGATTTTTGAAAAGTAGTGGTACCCATCTCCTCAAAAACAATCTCCCTCTTGTCTACTAATAAAATAATATACCCCAAAGAG